GATCATCGAACCCATCTATATTTTCCTTTTCCTTTTCCTCTTTTTGTGCAGCCCCTGGAAGGTTCGAATTTGTGTTTCAAAGACTTCCGCCCTTAAGGGGTGGTAGTGACAGGTGGTGTGTCTATTACTAAAGTTTGGGTGTTTCCCACCTACCTTTTGGTGGTGCGAAGCTACTAGGGTGAGAGGTCGTGTGTCGACGATGGAAAGTGTGCTTGTTTCAAGTCTACCTTGTCCCAAGCCCATCACCCCCCCCCCCCCCTCGTGTGCCCCCTTAGGTTTTTCCGCGTGCCAACGGCGGATGTGTCCGTTGTGGACTTGACGTGCCGCCTGACGAAGGGCGCCAGCTACGATTTTTTTCTGGCCGCCATGAAGGATGCATCTTAGGGGTCGATGAAGGGATACCTGGTGAGATATGCTGTGATGCTGTGAGAGGTGGTACAAGTGTCATACGGAAGGGGTACGTGGTGAGAGATACATCGAGAGTTAATGAGAGGTACATTCGGAAGGGATACCGGGTTAGCAGATGCCGAAAGGACCTGAGAGGTACCTACGGAAGGGGCGCCTTGCTTGAGGGGTATTATGAGGTGTAGAGATGTATATATCACGGAAGGGATACATATATACTTGGTGAGGAACTGCTGTAGTGAGAGGATAGTGAGACGTATCACGCGGAAGTGATATACGGCGAGAGAGACTGAGCGGCAGTGACAGGTACGCGTGTCACATGGGAGGGATGCCTGGAGAGAGTTAGAGTTAGTGAGAGTAAGTGCGGAGGTACGAGCATCACACGGAAGGGATAGAATTGTAGCGCATTGACAGGAACAACAAGTACTTACGGAAGGGATACCTGGCGAGAGGTACTATTTAGAGCATTTACCAACACGCCCGCTACCTAGGGCGCCCTCATTTCCCTCTCCCTCCCCCCTCTATCCATAACCGTGTGATACTCTTGGTTCACCCGTCAACTCTTGGTGTTCCCGTGAACCCAGGGTTCCACCACACTCCATAACCTCAATCATGTTACGCTGTTGGTTTACCCGTCAACTCTTGAATTTCCCGTGAACCCAGGGTTCCACCACACTCTATAACCTTAACCGTATGATGCTATTGGTTTACCCGTAAACTCTTGGTTTACCCGTAGACTCTTGGTTTACCCGTAAACTCTTGGTTTACCCGTAAACTCTTGGTTTACCCGTGAACCCAAGGGTTCTACCGCACTCTTAACCTTAACCGTGTGATGCTATTGGTTTAACCGTAAACTCTTGGTTTACCCGTGACCCCAGGGTTACACGGAGGATGCGGTAGTGTCCTCTGACTTCATCGGTGACTCTCGATCGTCCATCTTCGACGCCACGGCCGGCATCGCCCTCACTGACGACTTCGTCAAGCTCGTGTCGTGGTACGACAACGAATGGTGAGAAAATTTCAAAATTTCATGAAATGGCGTCACTCGTTCATATGTATGCACGTGATGCGTGTTTGGAGCAAAGCATAGCAGTGCTGATGTGATGAGTTAAGTGTGTGGCGTGACTCATGTGCCCGAAACGTGTTATTGTATGTGTATGCAGTGCCGACGTGGTGTATGTAGCAATGCACAGCAGTGCTGACTCCGCATGTGTTCCGCGTGTATGTAGCAGCAGTGCTTGGTTCTGGCTTGGGAGAACGGCGCTAGGATACTGCTGTTTTTCGTTTTCACGAAGAGTCTGAACGCTCTCCTACCCCAGAAGTGTCGTTTCGGCACTGTTGGTTCCTCTCGTAAAATAATGTCGAAATCATGGAAACGCTAAGGGGTTCCGCAGATAGAACATATTTCCTGCATTTAGGCTTGGAACGAGCACCCACTCGTGACAAGCCAGCCTCCCAACCCTAAGGAGGAAGTACGGTCGGGAGTAACATCATACATACTACAAGTACAATGCCAGCTGACCGACGGTCAGCTGTCGCCTAGCTGCATTACCTAGTAGCAGGTAGTCTTACTTCCGGCCGTAGCATACTTCCTCCTTAGGGTTGGGAGACTGGCTTGTCACGAGTGGGTGCTCGTGACAAGCCTCTCTACAGGCAATCTGTTCTCATCTGCGGAGCCCCTTAGCGAATCCATGATTTCGACACTTTTTTACATGATGTCTTCGTCAACCTCTCGTAGTGTGGTAGTGGAATGGTGTGTTATCGTGACGCTCCCACTCTGACCTCCCGTTGGTCACGTCAACTCTTCGCTCGTCGGAGCCAAGTTTAACCTTAACCATCACCATTTTCATCGCAGGGTCTCTGCTCTCGCATGAGTTATCCATCAAATCTTTTTTGGAGAAGGCCGCCCGGCCTCTGCCGTAGGCGAAAACCGCTCGCTGTGTTCGTTTTTCTTCGCACGTCGAATTTGATCCGCGGGAAAGCCGGGCTACTCGTGATGTGATTGGTCAAGAACGACGAGAGCAACGTTCCGTGCTCCTGAAGAAACCACCATGCGTAAGGCAGCATTTCTGTTTTCCTACATGCAGCCCACTACTGCTGTACCAGCCGAGAACGCCTCCCAATTTACCACTGCCACAGCCCTCATTTACACCAGTAGTTTGCCTTTGTTCTCTATGCCGACATTCAACGCTGTCCCCTGTCCCCTCTCGTGCGTACTGCGTGTGCTTTTTTATCCCCAGGGGTTACTCCAACCGTGTGTTGGACCTCATCACTCACATGGACAAGTCCTCCTAAGCGCTCGCCCCTCAGAAACGCGTGGGGAATGTTAAGGGGATCGTTGTCGGAGATCGACCTTTGTCGGAGATCAGCCGTTGTCGTCTGAGATAGCACCGGTTATCGGCCAAGCGCATGCGGGAGTCCTAATATAATATATTTAGATGGCATTTTATTGCCGGAGGGACATTTTGCATGCTTCACCAGTGGGTTTTCGATGGCACTCCTGTCGATATATAAAGTTTTGATGGATCGGTATCTAGCGCCGTTGACGTCCTTAAAAAGCTGTTGTTCAATACGTGGTATACACATGTGGTTTCTTTGTTTATCCGCGTTGAACCGGCCCCACATTTTGGGCCATTTTTGTCATCGCCTGGGTTTCCGCTTGAATCGCAGGCGTTTTTCGCAGCTTTTAGAAGGAAAGGACGTTGGTTGTCTTAGTGGCGCGGCCACTGTTGCCGTTCTTACAAAATGTGTTTTTTTCTCAGCCTTTCTGGGTATGCCGGGGAATGGCTCGGTCAACACGCCAAAACCAACATGACGTGTGCTCGGGGCGTACCCCAGTTTCGGGCGGATGCCCGTCCCTAATCGCCGGATTTTGAAACCTCTACACCCCTGATGGGGATAGGCTTTGTGTGTCCTTTACCCTCTGCGAGGAGACAGTACTGCCTTAGCCACCGTCAAACACGCGTACGATGACAAATCAAGTCTCTGTCCGATGCGTGACGCAGCTTCAGTCACGTGTTCGTTGCTGTTGCAAGAGCTGCCTCCGTGCCGAAGAGCGTCGTCCACTCTGAAAGACCTCGGTAGGAACACTGGCAGACACTCGTGCCGTGCACTGCTGTAGTGTCTACGTGCCGACACCAGCATCTGTTCCAACTTTCCAACTCTTTGGGGTTCATCATGCACAACGTCAGTCTCTCGTTCCAAAAACCCGAATTAAATCAGACACCACAGTTCGTTGTTGTGACGTATGCATATGCATACCACATATCTTGGCCCGGGTACCAAATCAAATACACCTCGTTCAACGTACCGCGATATTCTTTCTCGCCGAATATAGGAGACGTGCAACACCCTCCTGGCTGGAATGAATATCAATGACTGGTGGCGTCTCATGGCTGGACATGAATGTGTTCGGCACACCACACGCCCATGCTTGGTTCCCAAGCTCTAGCTTGGGTCTCAGTCGATCAAAAGTCTTTTTTTTCCGTCTGTGGAGTTTTCAGTAGCATAGCGGACCCCTTGCCCGACCGGGTCGAAAAGGCCGATCTCAGCCCACACTGCGAACCTCCGAGAACTACCAGCAGTTCTGGGTAGCTGAGACGATTTCAAGACCTCTCACAGTCGTTTGAGCATCTATCGCTTGCTGTGGGGCGATAACCAGTTTCTCCGTCGACAAGAAGATCTGCGTTACATCGTCACATCGGAACGACCAGATTGGTTGACTTGTCGTTGAGGGTCCTCTTTTTATAGATCTTTTTGTATAAGAGTCGTCTTCATTTTTTTCGCCGCCCGCGCCAACCCTTCTTTTTACAGATCTTTTTATATAGAGTCGTCTTCTTTTTTTCGCCGCCCGCCCCAAGCCTTGCTTGCTTCTCTCGTGTCCCGCGCCAAGCCTTGCTTGCTGGCTACGCTTCTCTCGAGATGCTGACCGACCTCAGCACACAGCTGGACATTCTGTGTACATACAGCAGGAGCTTTCCCAAGCTCTAGCTTGGGTCTCAGTCGATCAAAAGTCTTTTTTTTCCGTCTGTGGAGTTTTCAGTAGCATAGCGGACCCCTTGCCCGACCGGGTCGAAAAGGCCGATCTCAGCCCACACTGCGAACCTCCGAGAACTACCAGCAGTTCTGGGTAGCTGAGACGATTTCAAGACCTCTCACAGTCGTTTGAGCATCTATCGCTTGCTGTGGGGCGATAACCAGTTTCTCCGTCGACAAGAAGATCTGCGTTACATCGTCACATCGGAACGACCAGATTGGTTGACTTGTCGTTGAGGGTCCTCTTTTTATAGATCTTTTTGTATAAGAGTCGTCTTCATTTTTTTCGCCGCCCGCGCCAACCCTTCTTTTTACAGATCTTTTTATATAGAGTCGTCTTCTTTTTTTCGCCGCCCGCCCCAAGCCTTGCTTGCTTCTCTCGTGTCCCGCGCCAAGCCTTGCTTGCTGGCTACGCTTCTCTCGAGATGCTGACCGACCTCAGCACACAGCTGGACATTCTGTGTACATACAGCAGGAGCTGCTTTTGTTCTGTTGTTGCAACTTTCTGCATGGATGGCTCTTTTGTGGTGCGAAAATTAGCATTTATTGTTGTTGTTGATGTGCGGACGAGAGGACGAGAGTGGTAGGCAAAAGCAGTACGTACCTGCAAATCTCCGGCAACTACCAGCAGTTCTGGGTAGCTGAGACGATTTCAAGACCTCTCACAGTCGTTTGAGCAGCTATCGCTCGCTGTGGGGCGATAACCAGTGATTTTGTGATTTTCTTCCTTAGTCTATAGTGACCGTTGTACACATGCGGTGGCTGCTGTTATGCTCGGAAGATGCTGCAAAGGTCATAAGGTTATCGTCTCTGTCGCTTGGGCTGCACGCCGTGCTCGCGTAGGAGATGCGCATTCCTCATTTTTTCTCTGTGCCGATATCCATGAAGAAAAGCAACGGCAGCACGGTTGAAGATACAGACAACAGACGGTCCGCCATACCCTTTTTTTTTTTCTTCTCTTACATGCATGGATGGGTGGTAAAGCATCGCAAGCGTGTTGCTGCCTTACTTACCTTTAGTGTGCTGCGTAGTCGTAATTTGAGCGATAAGGGGTAGATGGCAGGACAACAATCTTATTTGCGTAGTGAGGTTTGACAACTGGTCGTTCGTGGAACGGTGCGCGTCTATCGCGACGGCAAGCGTATTGAGAAAATAGTTCGTCCGTGGTGCTTCTCGTCATCATTTTCTATTTCGTTGTCACTTCATACTTCATACCACAAGTGATGAAAGAGAGTCTCCACAGTTAGTTCGGAAACGGCGACTATATTTGGTTTGTTGCGTTTGTTGTTGCTGAGCACACATCGGATGTCGTCGTTCGTTACAGCCTGCGGTGGGCCACAGGGACGAGAGTGAGTGTCTTCGGTTAGGGTCTCGAGAGTTAATTAATGCCTTCTCTACGCTTTCTTCTGTTGATCTACGTAGTAGTAGCACCTGTCTCTCCTTCTCGCCTATTATCGCCGTTGGGGTCCCAACAACATCGAACGTCAACCGCAATCGTTTTTCTTCTTCTTGCTGAGTAAGAGGCTATTTGTGTAGTACGTACCCGGCTGCTGTATGTGAGGCGATGGGCGCTGCCTCTTTACTTGAAGCAACGGGGGCATGGCCCCTATAATGTTTGCTGCATGCTGTGCTATGTGACAGCTTCCAGCGGTTCAGAGCGGCGACGGTGGTTTTCGTATGCTCTCTTTTGCCACCTCCCTGAAGCCTGTCGCGTCTGGCTCACTTGTCTTTGTCGTCCCTTCTTCTTTTTCTTTTTTTTCTTAACATAGTCTATATTTTATTTTTCCGCTTGCTTTTTGGGGTCCGCCGGTCATCCGCCCACCACCCATTAGTTCAGTTTTAAATGTTGTTGTTGTTGTTGTTGTTGTTGTCTTCGCATTAAAAACCGTTCAGATCTCTCTCTACCCAGTACCTTCATATGTGCGTACTGATCCAACACTTGACGCGGTCGATTCCCGTGGTCACAGGCTAACTTACCCTAAAGAGGTACGCTAAAACAAACTGGCCCCGAAAGGTCCGCAAGTCAATAAAAATCAACGACAGATATTCTTTGGAACGGGGTGTTTACTTGCCATCTCTATGCAAGTTTCACAATTAATTTTGAAGCTTTTCTGAAGCTAGTTGAAACAGTAGTGTCATCGTTCGATATCCGTTCGGTGAGGAATCAATCGCAAATCATGACCCGTCCCCGAGTTGTAGCAGCTTCCGCCTCCTGGGGCCGGCAAGAGTCGGCCTTCACTGCTGTACCTTGTCTGTTTCGCCATGGGAATGGCCGGTTCAAAGCGAAAGAGGGTCCTGCGTGCTGCGCGCCACCACCTTTTTTTTTTTGCGTTTGTTTGTTGTTGTGATTTTCTTCACTGAGTGACCGTTGTTGTACACAACATGCGGCTGCTGCTGTACACATACTTGCGGTTGCTGCAGTATATGCTCGGAATGTGCTGAAAAGAAAGGTCGTAAGGTTATCGTCTCTGTTTTTTTGGGCTGCACGCGTTGCTCGCGTAGGCGATGCGCGTCTCCTACTTTTTTCCAGTGTCGTTGTCGGCAGCACAGTCAGTTGAAGAGACAAACAACAACAGACGGTCCGCCTTGTTTTGTTTTGCTGCATGCATGGTTGGTATGCATCGGCACGCGTGTTGCTTCCTTGCCTTGAGTCTGCTGCGTAGTCGTAATTTGAGCGATAGGTAAGCTAGATGGCAGCACAATCTTAGATACTACGTAGTGAGGTATGATAACCAACAGCTCGTTCGTGCAGCGGTGCGCATCTATGGCGGACGGCAAGCGTATTGCGATAATAGTTCGTCCGTGGTGCTATGTAGTCGTGCTCTTTTTAGTTCTCACTTCCTACAACAAGATAGTAGTCCACAGCTCGCACACGGCGACTGACTATATTTGTTTGTTGTTGTGCTTGTTTGCTGTTGCTGAGCCGACATCGGATATCGCCGTTCGATACACAACGTGACATCATGTCTGACAGCCTGCGGCGGGCCAGAGGGACGAGAGTGAGTGTCTTCTCGACAGAGTCAATGCCTTCTCTTCTCGAGAGAGTCAATGCCTTCTCTTCTCGAGAGAGTCAATGCCTTGTCTTCTCTCCGCTCTCGTATTTTTGTCTACCTCTCTTTCTCTCTCTCTCGCCTTTCGCCGGTAGGGTCCCAACAACATCGAACGTCAACCAACCGCAGTCGTTTCGCTTTTTGCTGAGTAAGAGGCTACCCGTGCATCCGGCTGCTGCATGTGAAGCGATGGGCGTTATGCCAAGCAATGGACTTGGGCCCTACCTAATATTTGCTCCATATGTAGTGCTATGTGAGAGTTTCCAGCGGTCCGGAGCGAGCGGCGACGGTGCTTTTCTTCTATGCGCTCTTTTGCCTCCTCCCTGAAGCCTGTCGCGTCTGACTCGTTTGTTCTCGCTTCTTTCTTTCTTTTGTTTTTCATGCTTTTGTTTTTTGGGGTCCCCCGGTTCCTGTGTGCTCATCGGGCATCTTCTTGGTGTCTACCTTGATTGTTACCCGCTGCAAAAATCGAAAGCTTCAGACAGGCAACGCGACGATACTCGTCGAGATGCCATACACAATGAATTCATTGCTAATCTGTCTCAGACTCTTTTCTATGATGGAGATGGATTCGTTGTGTCATATTAAGAAGAATAAACATAAAAAAACATCCTGTCGTTACTCTATCGATACCTCACACCCACCGCTACTCACGCCGACGCAGACACAGACAGGCAGACTCAGCTCTTTCGCCTGTGCTGTATCTGTTGTTCGTGCGTGCTGAAAAATGGTACATACAGCAGCAGCTTACTGCAGCAGGAGCTGCTTTTTGCTTGTTTGTACAGCTTTTCCTGCAGGGATGGCTCTTGTTGTGCGGCAAGTTGCATTGTTTGTTGTTGATGCGGACGAGAGGACGAGAGTGAGTGGTAGGCAAAAGCAGTACGTACCGTCTTAAAGGGACAGACAGAGTGCCTACCGTGTGTATGTAGACGTTGCATTTCGTGATTCCCGAGGATCGGATGTATGTGTTGTTTTTTTATTGCGTACCCGCGTCCATCCCGACCATTATTGCGTAGTGTGTCGGCTAATTAAGGTCCTTCCCGTTCGTGGTGTCAGCACACGCGCAACACGCGACTAAAATAAAAATATAAAGCTTGGGACTAGCAACGCCGACGATATTCGTCGGCTTGCTTTCAACAATTAAAAAAACTACGTCCAGAGGCCCGGCTTCGACTCGAAAGCGACAAACCTTGCTGGCCAGCGTATCAGCCTCCCCGCGACCCTACACATGACGAAATCAAAGGAAACCGCCTTGTGATCGCAAGTCACCCTCAAAGCATACCAACATCCGCCTCTGTTGTCATTGGCATGGCAAAAAACAAATCAAACTAAAAAAGAGTCACGCGCTTGATACGAGCTCTCTACCGTACGACTCCACACGCGACGCCATTGGCCGGGAGTCTCGACAATCAAGAACGGCAAGCCATGCGCCCTGCAACGCGCAGCAAGTACGCCCCCCCCTCCCCCCCCCGCCCCCTTCATAAGGTCGGAATGCCCAAAACGTTTTACCAGAAGATACAAAAAATCTCCTCCCACGAAGCATGAGCAACACCTATCCCGATAACGTCAGGCTCTAGCTCGACCTCTCCGCACATTCTAGAACACCCGTTTTTCAGAGCAAGAGCCTGGAACACCATCGCTACTGTCCTCCCCCATATATCAGAACTAGAGCCAGGAACACCATCACGATCACACGGCTCAAACATCATGCTCTAGGGTATAGAGTGTTCAACGTCCTTTCACTGGAGCATCATCACGGTTCTGCACCAGGTTCAGGTTAAGAAGAGCGTTCAAGGTCCTTCAGGCTGCGGCCCTGGCCACGAATCGGCCTCTGCCCCATTGGCGGGCGGTCCCCGCCGCCGTCCCGGCTGCCGCCAAACCCTCCCCCGCCGCCATCGCGTCGATCGAACCCTCCTCCTCCCCCCCTGCGGTCATCGCGACGATCAAACCCTCCCCCTCCGCCGCCATCACGCCTTTCGTACCCTCCTCCCCCTCCGCCGCCATCACGCCTTTCGTACCCTCCTCCCCCTCCGCCGCCGCCATCGCGGCGTTCGAACCCGCCTCCGCCGCCGCTGCTCCTGCTACGCCACCCGCCGCCCCCTCCGCTATCTCTGTCCATGCCGCCACCGCCACCGCCACCGCCACCGCCGCCGCCGCCGCCACCGAACCGGTCACCGCCGTAGCCCCCACCGCCGCCGCTGCTCCTGTCGCTGAAGCGGCCACTACCACCGCCCCCGCTGCTGGAACCGCCGCCCCCCGCGCGACGCCACCCTCCCTCGAAGTTGCGCTCCCGGCCCATGTCGCCGGCGCCCGCCTGCCCCCGGTCACCACCGCCCCCGCCACGGGGAGCCTGGAAACGGCCTTCGTTGTTCATCCCGCCACGGCTCGCTCCCCCGCCGCCCCCGCCGTACCTGTCATCACCGCCTCCGCCGCCGCCCCCGCGGGGGGCACCGGCGGTGCGCCAGCCTCCCGAGGAGCGGTCGTCGTAACCATTGCTGTCGCGGTAGTCGTTACCGCCGCCGCCACCCTGCTGGTCCGCTTCCTCGGGGCCGAGGCCGCGGGAGGCACGCTCCTGCTCAACCAATCAGAAGGCGGGTGCGAGGTTTTGGGTAGGTGAGGTGTGGCACCGGGGGTGTCGGTTACACGAGAGGACGCAGCTACCTATTCAGCTAGCGGCGAGTACAGAGAGGGACAAAGTCCTGGCCGGTTGATGAGTTACGACAACAGATCAACCCGAACGGCCGAATTGCGGTGGGAGATTGCAAGAGGTATCTTCCTGTGGTACAGCCAGTGGTCAAGACAGTTCTCGCAGCACAGGGGTTAGGGGTGAATGCATATCATAGGACAGGGATATTCTAGATACATGCTAATGTCGTGGTTTGTTGTCCCGTTCCATTTTGCTTCTGTACATGAGCGTTGCAAGAAGACCTTCATCTGCTATCAACTTGTATACAACAGCGCTTCCGAAATGAAAACGCAAGACCGACAGACCAAGTTCATACTTACGTACTCCAGAATCAAACTCTCACCGCGAGCCTTCTGCACAAAACCTAGCTCAATCGCCATCAAAACCAGCAAACCCGATGCAAATTTGCACCACACGTTATCCGCACATGTCGTGCCAACAAAACAAAATACACCTTACATGAACAATTAAACCGTTGGTAGGAACATAACCGACAACACAAAACTAGAACAAAATTAGCAAGTACCTCGCACATGTGTGTTCTGCGCCCACGGAGGCAACGACCAAAATGCACTCCTCATTTTTGGACGAAGCTTTCAATCTTGTTTCAACCATCTTATGTTTTCCTCGTTTTTGGACGAAGCTTGTAATCTTGTTTCAACCATCTAAACATTTTTCGTGGTACCTCATCGCGCGCTTGCTTCTCCGCCGCCCTGTTAGCCTCGGCCTTCTCTTGAGCGGCCTGACGTTCAGCCTCCAGAGCTTCCCTGTCACATCACAGCAAGACAACCACATGATGCGAAGACCAACGTGCAAGGTCAAGAACGGGTGCCGAGCGCCAACTTCTCCTTCACGAAAGGGTCGGTAAAATCCTTCCTCCCACCCAAAGACCAATCAAATCCGAAATGTGCATACATGTATGCAGAAGGTCGTTCAAAAACAAATATATCGTTTGGTCTCGCGCCAAAAGTTCTTCGATGGCACCGGTTGAACTGGAGTATGATATATGCCTGCGTCTCGTGTCTCGTGCATGCCGTGAGTTCATTGGTTGCACCCGTTGGAAAGCATTGTGATAAATAGGTATGTGTCTCGCGTATCGTGCATAGCGGCCGCATGGACAAGCGGCACGGAACAGCGGCAGGAGGGCATGGCATACAGCAGTGGTCCCTGTGTAATGCCGGTTGCCCGCTAAATGACGGTGAATTCGGCTGGATCGCACCGGCCCTACACCGGGAGCACTACTGTACTGTACTGTGGTGTAGTGCACTTCTCCTTCACACAAGCGTCGACAGATCCATCCTCGGACCCGACCTTCAATCAAATCGACGAAAGACGTATCATAGTACTTCGGAAAAAAAAAAAATCAGCGTTTGGTCCCGCGCCAAAGTTTTCTGGTTGCACCGGTTGAACTGCTGCGTTGTGCTACATACGTACGTACGCGTCTGGCGTCGGCTGTCTCGCGCATAGCGGCAGGAGGGCACGACAAGTGTACATTAGTTGTACTGCTGTACCTGCGAGAGGATTCTTCCGCTTCGCGTTCTTGGCGCTCCTCTTCCTCCCTGGCACGCTCGGCCTCTTCCTCGGCCTTGCGCATGCGAGAGAGAGCACGTTGGACCTGCAGCAGTAGGGTGTGGGGAAGCAGTGCAAGGGCCAAGGGAGAGGACGAAATGAGCACCACAGCAGGAGGAACACGCGCGAACAAATGAGGTAGCAGATGGAGATGATGGGTAACGTAGCAGCACAGGCTTTGGCCAACACTGTCAACATCGTAGAGGGATGACCAAGTTGCTGATAGCACATCTAACCCACACCTTCATCCTTGACCCCACCGAGTGATGCGTTACCGTCACCTTCCTTCCCTGAACAAGAAAAAAAGGAACATTAACATTTTACCATCACCAACCCAACTGCATGGTGTGGTCATCAACATAACCAATCTCACCTTCTTCTGCTTCTGGAAGGCCCTAGCGCGTTCTTCGGCTGCGATGACCTCTGCAGCGTGCTCGGCCTGCCTCGACTCCAGGATGTTGGACTGGAACACTTCGGCGTCTTCGTACATGTTCGACACCGCCTTCTTGGTCCACCATGTCCTTCTCCCACGCCTGGTCGGATAGGGGCGGGGGGGGGGGGGGGCGTACTCATTTGTTGCTTGCCGTAGTCATTTGACCATTGACCACGCGTCCCTTTCGAGACGGAGCACCGTTCCTACCTCTACTAGAGACACCACCAACATTTGGGAGCTCTTTACGTTTCTGCCACAAACTCCATAAAAATTTCTTGCACATCTCATCCCCGTCCTCTAGGGCCTCTTGTGCCCACCATCTATCCCCAATTATCGCGATCGTTCTTTCGCTGTTGTCTAATTTACCAAACTTGTCCATGTCACACCCTCTCTGTCTCATTTCCTCCTCGAGATCCTCTCTTTCCTTCCTGTACAACTCACACTCCCCAACTATGTGGGGATAGGGACGGGGGGGGACGGGTAAGTGTTGCCGCGAGAGGACACGCTGTTAGCAAGAGGGCTTCGTATCCCGCAGAACTGCTGTACGCTTTCTTTAGGACACAACACCGGTTTCCTGCGATCGCAAGATGCCCCCAACACAAGGCGGTACAAACATGAACGATGACGAGGACAAGTTCTCCCCTCGAGGTCTTACTCATACAACAAAGATGCCGGAGACACAAATAGCATGTTAGGGCACAAGGGTGTGTGAGGCATTTCGATCGATAGCGAGCCTAAGCTGGGACACCTACATTTATCAGAAACCTATAGCAGGGAAAGGAGCAGCACTCGAGCAGTAAACACAACGCAAGACTGTTGCAAGTCACAACCGGTTCGGTGGTTGCAGGCGCCGATCCTTCAAACGACTGACTCGACTCGCCTTCTTGTGGCTCTCCAAGTGTGCCTTCCAGCGCTTGTCGTGCTCCAGCTTGTCGGCAGCGACCTAACGACATATCCACAAGCACCATGAGGGTTTGGGGCAACGGTTACGATGTGATGTAGGGTATCGAGGTGATCGGTTCATCTTGTCGGCCGTCATCTTCTGACACCTGCATCAGATCTTTTGGGGGGGGGGCTGCAATGGTTCTGCTGTGGGATACAAGGCGAGTCCAGAGGATCTTCCATCAACATATCACAATCCTGACATCGCACCGGCAATGATATCTCTCTCGCTCGCCACGAGCAAAGTAAAACCGGCGTTTCAATCGTTGGACAAGCAAGCCAGATCTCCGAGATCTCCGAGATCTAAAAAGGACATCTCCGACACCGATAAATATCTCTGGTAGACAACACGTCTGCATGTATCTCTCATGCGTGACGAGCAAGTCAGCCGAGCGTTTCAATCGCTTGACAAGCAAGCGTGATCTCCGAGATCTCCGCACCTGCGCTTCGTACTTCTTGCGGAGCACCGGCAGCTCCTCGATACGGAGGGCCCTGGTGATGTAGTCGAGGCGCTTGGCCTGAGACTTGAGGCGAGCGTCCTCGTCCTCCTTCTCCTTCACCACGGAGTCCTTCGTCTTCCGGATAAGCTCCTGCGTAAGGGATGGCGGTGGGGGCACAGGGGTGGGGATAGGGCTGTTAGCGGTACAATCCGAAAAACGAGGAACCAAGAACGCATGAGACAAGAAAGCTCTTGGGATAGCGACAGGGCAACAGGGTTAGGGTTGGGTGAAAGGGGTCGGGTTAGCGGTGTCGCGAAAACGATGATGCCAACACCGCTCAAAAACAATAGTTTACGACCATTGTTTATCAAAAACCCAAGTCGTGGATTCGAATTGACGATCGAGCCCGCCATACTGGCCCGCAAAATGTTCCCGTCGGTGCTCTAAAAACAAACACGAACCCGCACGATCAAAACGCACCTCTCTGCCAGACTTGTCGAGCTTCTCGACGTTGTCCGCCTTCTTGCCGAGCCTTACCAGCATCTCCTTCGTCTGCTGCAGCTCCAACTCGCGCTCGATCTGATTTGGCGGACATTCAACAGAAAAAAGAAAAAAAACGTGTGTCAGAGACTGTTGTAGGCTAGGCTCAAATCACGTTGCTGATATGCATACGACGAAGTACACTCCTTGTTCTAGAACCCCAAAACGCTAAATTCGCCGTGAAAAAAGACCCAAGCACACCCCAAGAACGAGGGGTGAGACAGGATGAAAAGCATCGACGGTGGGATATCGTCACCTCAACATCAGCGCCTGTATTTACAGGCTGGCGCTCGAGGGTATGGAATGGCAAATTGTGCGCGTTAGAAGGGAGTACTCCAAGCATGACGAGGAGAAGGGGGGAGGGGGGGGGCAGACTACAGCCAATCCCTCGTCTTTGGATGATGGGCTGACCCGTATGATACTGTATTTTTTCGAATCATACAATGTCACATCTACACGGATGTACAACTAAAGCTGAACAAAGATAAAAGGTCTGTATGGATGGATGATTCGTACCCGTTGGATCTTCTCCTTCTCGCGAAGCTTGGCCTCCCGGGCCAGTCGAGCAGCCTCCTCCGCCTTCCGCTTCAAGTCCTCTTCTTGACGGACCCTGTCATAGTCATCAAATAGTCGTCGTTCTTGTCGTAAGTTGTTGGTCTTGTTATTGGTAAATAATAATGAGTTATTGGTAAAAATGAGTGTTTTTATTGTTGCTCGTTGGTGTTCGTGGCTGATAGTTGTAGTGGTTGTTGTTGTTTCATGTTTGTTATGTTGGTGGTTGCACAGACGCAAGCCTTGCACTGATGCATGCCAACGACTACAATCGATCCTCCTCCCTGCCCAGCTTACGCACCCCGTCGTCTACCACCAACCATGTTCCCAGTTTCAAAAAAAAGGGTTCACACGCGGCTAGAGCAACTGTCAAACACCATCGGCATAGATGTAAGCCTTAGAAGTAAAAGAAGGGCATGTGTTCTTGATATGATACAACCAGACCAAGGAACAAAAAACACCCGCACCATGCCAAGGGCATCCAATCAATGATTGGCGACCCAGACCTTGTAGAAAAACAAACAAACTGGTCACCTGGCCTCTTTCCTGGTCTTGTACATATGCATATGATGCCATCAACAACTGGCAACCAGGCAAAAAACCTCGCAACCTTGTAGAGAGAAAAATAAATCACCTGGCCTCTTCCCTGGTCTTGTCCTGCTCGCGACGCTCGGTCTCCTCCTTGCGCTTCTCGATGATGTTCTTGCGGTTCAACGCGTCGCTGTGCTCCCGGGGCATGTCGCTTACCTACCATACCATATATTGACACACGAATTCCGTGGGAAACAGGGAAGTACCGTGTGAGGTGCGGGGCCGGAATGGGAGATTCCGCGAAAAACAACGCGTCGATGCTCCCAGGGCATGTCGCTCGCCTACCATACCATGCCATATATTGACGCACGAATTCCGTGGGGAACAGGGAAGTACCGTGCGAGGTACGGGGCCGGAATGGGATATTCCGTAACAAACTGTGTTCTGGGTTGACACGAATTCCTAACCCACTTTGATGAGACTCAACATGTGTCAGAAAAACCCTTCGACCCGCCTCGAACCAAACCAAACAGAGCTCCTGTCGTTTCCTTAAGTCCAGCTCTCACCACACTATAATCGCACCAACAACAAACTCCCACTTCTTCCGCAACCAGCCTTTGACACACCACTTCGCTGAAGAAGCCTTCGACCCAACTCGAACCCAACCCAACCAAACTCCCTCTAGCTCAGCATGCCCAACTCTCACCGCAATCCGATCGCACCTACACAAGACTAAGACTCCCTTTGCCTCCTTAACGCTGACCAGACTCTTTGACTCTTTGACTCACCACTTGGCTGAAGAAGCCTTCGACACAACTCGAACCGAACCGAACCGAACCGAACTCCCTTTACCTCAGTATGCATAACTCTCGCCGCACTAGCACCAACACAAGACCAAGACTCCCTTTGCCTCATTAACCCTGACCAGACTTAAGACTCACCACTTGGCTGAAGAAGCCCGCCCTCTGCTGCTGGGTCGTCTGCTCCGCGGGCTTGACAAGGTTGACAGCCTTCTGCAGCTGGGTCGCCAGCGTGCTGAGCTGGGTGCGCATGGAGTCGCTCTCCATCACCTCTCCCCCGAACCTCAAGCAACGAGCCTGCTCTCGCCATGGTCGATGACGGTATTGATCGGATCATAGGGCACCAATCGACAGCAACGGAGAAGGAACGAGACGCGGTTAGGAAACAGCATTGTTGCGGTTGGGGAAAGGCTGAAGGGTGGACATGAACACAAGTCTACGGTAATCCTTTTGAAAGTTCGGCCTCAAGAACGGTGACCGGGAGGGAGGAAAGTGACGAGAGGTTGACGGGCAATCGTTTGTGAACCTTTAGTCCGAACAAAGGGGCACCGGGGAGAGGTCAGGGTGGTTGACACATTTCCTATCAACAGTCGTTGTGAACATTTGGTCTCAACAAAGGTTGGTTAAAAATTATTTCTTGCGTTAATAGGAGACAGGAGGTGAGGGTGGTTAACGGGAATCTTTATCATATTTCCTGTCAACAGTCGTTGTGAACGTTTGGCCTTCAACAAAGGTGTGTTCATGTTTGGATCTGGACAAAAGTAGCTGTAAGGGGAGAGAAAGTGCGAAGGCGGGTGGAACACGCCTACCCATAGTTCTCAGCTCTTGATCTGGACGACAAGATCAAGAGGGTTGAGGAAACGGCACCCACAACGACCGTCGGAACCTGTCAGAACTTCAGAGAAAAATACAAGAGAGCTGACAAGAGAGAGAGAATGGTCTACCACGCAAGCATCACGTCGCATTTTTCGGCACTCTTTCGACCACGTCGAACAGCTGGTCCCAAGACAAATTCACAGCAGTACACGTGAAAGGGCCAAAAGCAAATGCTAATCTCACCTTGTGGACGGAAAGGGCACAAGGATAAATCTGATGTTAATCTTGTGTTATCTCATCTCACCTTGTGGTCGACGGTGACCTTGACCTGCCTCTGCTTCACCGCCCGCACGATGAGTTTCTCCACCTCTTGGAAAGAAAGACGGACGCCTGTCAAGTACGTCTGCACACATCAAAAACACGAACACAGAGAGAGGGAAGACACAGTGAGAGAGAGGGAGAAAGAGAGAGCGGTAGAGAGAGGAAGAAGAGAGAGGGGGAAACCTAACTGCTCTAACATCTTGAGAGCACTCCACACACTTGCAGCCTCTACCACAATATGCACGACAAAACAAAGCAAGATGCTCATGCTGATGATGATCTTCAGCACATCACCAACACACATGCCTGCAGCCCTATCTCAAGGGTCAGCGCTATGCAAAACAACACAATTAAAATGCATCGGATGTACCTACCGTACCACGGAAGCCGTCTGCGTCAGTGGACCAGAGTGCTAGAAGGTACAGTACTTAGCAGAGACCGGAACGGGTCTTCATGTGAAGACAACAACAAGACATCACCGCCAACAACAACAACCACAAGCGCACAAACCTGCAGCCTCTCAAGGGTAACGGTGTGGTAGACGGACGACAGCTGGGCCAGCAGCCGGAGCACGACAATGCGCTCGAGGGACGGCACGTAGCTGCACCCCAACCGACAGCGTAACCGTCGAAATTCAAGGAAAATCGTCCGAGAAACAAAGCAAAGGAGGCGTTAACGTTGATCGTCGAAACTCAACGAAATTCCTTCCGAGAAAAGAGGCGTTAATACGGACGAAAAGTAGTGGCAAGTGTACTTTATTGCCTTCTAAATACGAGCAAAAAAATCGTCCAAGAAACAAAGCAATGGTGGCAAGCGTACTTCCTCAAGGGGCGAAACCTTCGATAAAACGAAAAAAACAAGCAAGGTGTGCGACATAAAGGCGGAGGTGGTAGAGGTGACAAGGAGTGGCACGTGTGCTGACGGGACGTGCGGTGTGCGTCGACAACCACTTCGATATGCTGTTTTCCGGGAAAGCATTGCTGCCGTAACATGAAACCGCCCATCCTTACGGGTCCTTTTGTAGACATGCACCTATGGAAAGAGTCTTTCATGGTGCTCGAAACGAGGGAAAACAGTAAATGTCGAAACGAGTGACAGCAAAGACGAACAAAAACAAACCAGCCACTACGAAACACAGGAGGAGCAAAGACAAAAATGAAATACAACAAATGGTAATGGAAGAATGGCAGCATGAAACCAACCATCTGCTGATTTTCGGTTCACAACTACTGTTTTTCGTTTGGTATCTGCTGTGTTTCTTCACCATGTTTGCTTTCATATTTGCTCTTGTCGTTTCAACGGCGGAAAGAACAACAGCAAATACGGAACGAACAGGAGCAAAGATGAACGAAACAACAGCAAACGCTAAAGGCATCAAAAGCAAAATCAGAAACGAAAAACAGCACACAGAAAATATTTTCATCTGCTGTTTTTCGTTTCAAGCTTTGCTCTTGGTGCCTTTAGCATTTTGCTGTGCTTCATTTCGACATTTGATCTTGTTCGTGTTTGCTGTTTTTCCTTCTTTCGAACACCGTGATGGACTATGTATGCATGCATGTCTAGGACAAGGGTCGAGGGTGTTGGAAACAGTTGGGTTGGGTTGCAACGCAGCTTGCCTCGGGCAAACGTGGTGGTCCTCAACGACATCCTCGGTACAGCAGAGGTAGGTCCCTGTTCAGTGCCGCTACAATATGTGCCCAGAAAAATCACGGCACTACACCGGACACCGGCAGTATTCAGAACAGGGATATATAGGTTTTAGTATAGTAGTGGACGCTCGTGCCCAGAGATTTGGCCGGCACTAAACAGGGACCCCTTCTGCTTGATGTCTTTCAAGACGGTGTAGAGAGCTCAGACGAGACGAAGTTTCGCCCACAATCCCTCTATGCGTGCCTGAACTCTTGTTGCATCCTTACGAAGACGGTTTTGTCGAGAAGAAAGCGGCTAAGCAAATAAGAGTCGGAGGGGAAAAGCAAACCCTGAAGTCTTGTTGCACCCTTACGAAGACGGTTCTGTGGAGAAGAAAGCGGTAAGCAAAGAAAGTTGAAGGGGAAAGCACACTTTAAATCTTGCCAAACCGGTAAGCAAGGGGAGTTGGAGAGGAAAGCTAAAGCTAACTAACCTGGCGACGTCGCCACCGGCCTTGGTGAGGGTCTCGAGGTGCGGCATGGCGTCCTTCACGATGCTCATAGGCCGGAAGTTGGTCTCGATGATGTTGTACAGCGCCAGGACGTCGGGGGACACCTGCCATCGCCCGGAGGGAACAAACGACCATCACATGATGAGTCTGCGGTGCATGCGATGCGGCTGTGAACGTCACCCAGTATCTTAGCAGCATCGCACGGCCACAAATCCTCAGTGTCCGCTTCAAGCAGGACTGTGAACGTCATCCAACCACGGCCAGCGACTTGATTCAGTATGTTGTTCTCAAGGGGTTGGCCTCATGGAATGGTGCATCTACCTGAGCCAGGATTCCCTTCTTGACGAGCTCGTCCATCAGGGCCTCACGGGAAGGGTCGGTGCTGAATCCGAGGAGCGTGGCCATGCGCTGATTCTTCTGCTTGGACAGGTCATCTTCGTCGAACAGCTGGTTGGCCGACTCCGACCTAAAACCGTCACAACGGCAACGACTTGCACTGTTGGACTCGATACGCCGGACAGCACCATCCATCGCTGCCCTCACCAAGCACCTCCTCGATAGCCATGTTGGGTTCATATTTCATATCATGGTACTGCAGTACGGTACCGTTACCAACCCACCGTACACAGTACCGTACCATCTCCTCGACAGCCATGTTGCATCACATTTCATATTGCGGTACCGCTACCGTAATCAACCCACCACACACACACGGAGACAACACATGGCGCTCATTTTCTCCGCCATGGCAAGAAGGTTTCAATCGAAACGCCTGGTTTTCCAACGCCGCCGTCAAGAGAAACACAAGCACAAAAGCGTCGTACATAGAGATGTAGTTCTTGTACCACTATTTCCCACCACGACCGTCAAGAGAAGAAAACAAGTACTAGAATAGGTTTTGCAGAAACAAACGGACGAGAATCATCGTAGGCTGGTGAAACAGGGACAAAGCTAAATTTATTGCTTCACGTAGTACTAATGTAGCCCCGTTTCCTCTTTTGATTTTGGGGAGGACATACTGATGTTAAGCGCCTGACCTGACCTTGAATTAATTGCCCTTTTCATTTTTGGTTTTGGGAAAGACATTCTCTTGTTCAAGCGCCTCGTGCACCACCTAATGGCCAAACTTGTAACCCTAATCTTGACCCGAACCGTACGGACCTGATCTGCGGGATGGAGATGGCGGCGAGAAGTACGCAGTTCGCCTGTGTGACCTTAGCCTCCGAAGTAAGCGTCTTGTTGTACTCGCTTCCGAGCGAGAAGAACTTGTACCTGAACCCAGCAGCCAACAAGCGAAAACAACACCACACACACAAGAAAAGAGTGAGCGTCATGTGTGAAAATGCAAACAGAGAGAACAATAAAAAAAAAAACACGAAATATTTTTTTAAAAGTGAGCGTCTTTATCTTCTCGCTTCCGAGAGAGAAGAACTTGTACCTGAACCTGGCAGCCAACAAGAGATAAGCAAGAGAGGATTGAGCGTCATGTTGTTCTCGTTTCCGAGATAGATGAACTTGTACCTGAAGCCAGCAGCCCACAAGAGATAAACAACAAGACAAGGCCAACGCCGAGAAGAGAGAAACAACAAGCACGAAATTAGACACAAAAAGTGAGCGTCATGTTGTTCTCGCTGGCCAAGAGAAAAAAACCAATGGAGAAACAATGACAGACACACAATAAGCGCCTTGTTGTAGTCCTTACCAAGAGAAAATAAATTCAGACAAGACAGTCAGCGAGACCAAAACAAAGCCACAAAAATAAAAGTAACGATGCTGTTGCTCAACTCGCAATGTAAACCAAGAGAGAACTTGTATGCATACATCCCTTGAAGCCACGAACAGAGAAACAAGCTCGCACGAATGTTGGAAGTAGGGTTGATTTTGCCGACAACCCAGCAACCAAACAAAAAAGACAAGATAGATATCAAAACCTAATGGTGTCTGCCAGACCTTTACGACGCTCATCAAGCGTCAACGAAACAAGACAGAAATCACAAACTATGAATACTACTGTTAGCGCCCGCGTTTAAGAAACGTCGACTTGGGGTCGAGGCTCAATTTCTTATTTCGTCGCCGCCGTCGAGCATAGGTTAATACATATTATATTGAGTTTAAGTGTAGAATCCACGGCTGAGGTGTGTTCTTAGTCGATTTTTCTCATTTATCGCCAATAGCCACTTGTTTCGCAAACCCGGGCACAGATTATATTGAGTTTAGTGTAGAATCCACGGCTGAGGTGTGTTCTTAGTCGATTTTTCTCATTTATCGCCAATAGCCACTTGTTTCGCAAACCCGGGCACAGATTATATTGAGCTTAGTGTGGAATCCACGGCTGAGGTGCGTTCTTATATTAGTCGATTTTTCTCATTTATCGCCAATAGCCACTTGTTTCGTAAACCCGGGCACTAACTGACGACACTCACCAGGCGTAGGCGTGGAAGAGGTAGTTCTCGCTCACCCAGAATATGCGGGTGAGCTTCTCGTAGTAGCTGGCCATGAGGCGGGCCTTGGGAGTCTTCTTCCCGATCTACTTGGAAGAAAAAAAAAAACACAGAGGAAATACATTAGCGGAACAACAATAGACCAACCAATCGAACGCAAGGCTAGGCACAAATAGCACCCTTCGTCGAGACGCATCGCCAAATACTCCACCCAACAAGCGGTAAAGGGAACCCACAAAAACTTGCAAACATCATATGCCCACACACGAGTAAAATCTTGACATACATACGGGTGCGCTGGCGCACAGACCCAGCCACCTGCATGATGTTGTAGATGTCCTCCACCGTGCGGAAGCCTTCAGTCCACAGCTCTAGTCCCGCGGCCACCTCTAGCTGGGCGAAGCGGGTCTGCAGGTGCAGCTCAATGCCGTCGCTGGTCCACCCCTCCCACCCCCGAAGCCTGTTCGTCGTCTGTGTTGCCAACAACAGTCACGAGGGGGTCACGCAGTATCGCAGGTAGAGGAGGGGAGGGGGGGGGGTCCATCGACATGCAATCAAGGGGAGGGGGGGAGGGGGTCCATCAAGAATAGGGGCAACAACATGCAATCACGGTGCCCGAAGCCGGTTTGTCGTCTGTCGCCCGGTCAAAGCGTGGTCACAGAAAGACAAGCAAATCAGAAACAGGTTGTATGCATACGCCCGGGTGGTCTTACCACCATTCTAGGTACCTGGGGGTGCATGCGCGTTGAGTTCAAAGTGTACCCTAAAATGGTGACGGACCACCCGGGTGCCCGATTTTGGGTAGTTCTCTTGAAAAAAAACAAGTGGGGCTACGCACTATCGAAGGTAGAGGGACGGGGTCCGAAGCAGCGGCAGCGGCAGCGAATCACGGTACCCCGCCAATCCAAATCCAAGATGATTAACGAAAGGGTCGGTTCAGGCACACTTCAGGAAGGCAGCTGGAAGAAACACCAAAACGCATACATACCAGCAGCAAACAGTACCGTATCAAGACAACATAACAAGGGAGAGCGGGAGCAATGGAAGGCAAGGTAGGTCGTGGAAAGGTACGAACGAGTACAAACATCATGTAGATATATTAGATAGATTACCTGGGCCGCGGAGTGCTTCTGCAGGTTGGAGATGTGCTGCCGGAGCGTGTCGCACAGACGTCGCAGCTCAGTCGTCCTCTCGTACGTCCTGGAAAAATCAAAATCATCACCCCAAGTTATAAGTTAGACAGACGCGCAAACACGCCAACAGGTTGATTGTTTGATGACGTCATAACCCCGCCATGGCCATGGCAGACAGGTGAGCAAAAACGGTCGCTACAAAAACCCTCTGTCCGCAACCACTATACCACCGCCACCAATAGCTGAACAACACATCAGCAGCGCGGCACGTGTAATCCAACACACGGAAACCGCCCTAAAATAACCCGTCAGCACCGCAGCAACAACCCCCGGCTAGAGACCACACCCAAAATATGCATATATCCAACGTAAAATATTACACACGATACACACTACACGCTATAACACAACAAAACGCCAACACATCCCCCCCCGCTAGATACCGACCGCCTTTCGCAAGGATAATATTGTTAATCTATGAAATAGAGAGGGGGGGTTCGTATTCCTAACCCTAACCCCATACTAAATCCGAGATAAATATCCTCGCTAAGGTTACTGCTAAATACCTACCACACCCAAGCGACCAAGAGATCCCACGATCATCTCTCAAGCAGCAGAGGCCATCCATCCATTACGTCGAAAAACCCATTCATCGGCAGACGCATGCCTCCCAGGCAACAGAGGCCATGCACCCATCCATCCATCACATAAAAAAACCCACTGATCGGCACACGCATGCCTCCCAGGCAACAGAGGCCGTGCATCCATCCATCCATCACATAAAAAAACCCACTGATCGGCACACGCATGCCTCCCAGGCAACAGAGGCCATGCATCCATCCATCCATCACATCGAAAAACCTACCGATCGGCGCACGCATGCCTCCCAGGCGACAGAGGCCATGCATCCATCCGTCCACCCATCACACCGAAGGCAAACCCAACCTCACCGGCAGAAGTTGAAGGCCTTGATGCACGTGGCATGGTAGACGTGCTCGAGCTTGGTGTTGGTCTTGAGGATGTCAAGCACGGCCCGGTACGTCTCCCAGAGGAACTTGAGCCACGGAACCACCATCTCCCGGTCGGCCCTCTCCTTCTCGCCCTCCTCCGTCATCGTCGAGAGCATGATCGATTCGGGGGTGGCCTCGGCTTCCAGGTCGCCTACCTTGGCGGCCTCCACCAGCGACATCTACCAAGCGGGAAAACATGCAAGCATACGAACAGGGAATATTTGGTCTACCGCACTCCGGACATGTGATGTGTATCACAAATTTCCAGGCTTCGGGACGCAATGATACCGTCAGTGGGTCTTGTTCTTGTTTTGGGTATTCTTGGATTTCCAGGTTCAACAGACAACACAACAGCGACATCTGCCAAGCGACAACATGCACGCATTGTTGCGCATATATATCCAGCCGGGCAGGTTTAACAAACAACAGCATATGTAGCAATGCACTTGTGGAATACGTCAAACCTATCGAGGTGGTGCAAGGGTGAGCAAGTAGGTCAGCCACCTTTTCTGCTGGCCTCCTCCCGAACGACCTCAACACGTGCGTCTGTGCCCTAGAGCACTACGATGCCAATACAGGTCTGGGTCCTCTATAGTGCAGGGGTGTGTCCAGAGACTTTACCTGCACTATACCGGGCACCTGCACTATTCAGGATCGAGGAATATATGGGCTTTGGTATACCAGCTTAAATCTGTATCAGCAGATTTCACCGTCACAGTACCGGGCACCTGCACTATAGAGGGCCCAGTACTGTACCGAAGCAAAGATTGTTCACCCCCTGTTCCTGTTGTCTACATTTCCGTGTCTTTCGACTCTCTCGGGGGGCCCGTGTGTGGGGTTGGGGTGGGGTGGATGGATACCTGGTCGGCCTTCTTCCTGCTGTTGGTGGCCTTCTTCTCTGCCTGGTCCACGAGGTAGTTGATGATCACCTGGAGATCCGAGGAGAAAACCGTGCCATGCGCATCGTCATACGGAACAAAAGCAAGAGCGGAATGAGGTATTATAGTTGAGGATCACCTGCAGATACCGAGAAAACCCGTACCACGTGCACCATCGTGTGCATCATCGTGTGCATCGTCGTACGGAACAAGAGCAACGTTTATCGCGGGAAAAGGTAGTTGATGATCACATCGAGAACGCAACGAAAACCGTACCATGTTCATCCTCGTATGGGACAAAATGACCTTTATCTGCGGGACGAGATTGCACAAGGTAAAACTAGCACCGGTAGTCGTTACAGTTTGCACATTATTTCCGCCGAACGGAGTACGTACGCATACAGAATTCATTTCCGCACGAAGACACCGGTGACCAAAACAATAATCTTGGGCGTACAAAACGCCCCGTGTGCACGAACATCAAAAATGATGTGGAAGATGTTGTTAGGATGGACGGTCCTTGCACACCTTCGTTTGAGTTTGTTCGTCCCATCTACCCTGGCGCCACTCAACACACCATTCGGTGTACATGTCTGACATATCAGCTGGGCTCACACAAAAGCAATGTCACGCATGCGTCGGCAAAACATCTACACGCAGAGACAGAAAAAAATTCCCCGCCCACCTCGAGTGATCCCGGCGCCTGCTGCTGAGCCATGTTGCGGTACTGGTGCAGCCCGTCCTTCGCCTGGCGGTGCTGCTGCAGCTGCACGCAGAGGTCCATGTACTTGAGCATGATCGTCTCGTACGCGGTCTGCCATGTTTTGTAGCGCCTGAAGGAACACGGTGTGTGCAGTGTTACTGGCTTTGGTACAACACATGTCATACCGCATAAAATAATTGTAGCGCCTCAAGACACGGCGCGTGCGATATTATCGTATTATCGACTTTACATACAACACAGCATCCTATATTGCGCGCATCAAAATATGGAGACATCATGTCACTGACGCCGACAATTAAAAGTGGCACAGGTTCTAGGAAGTGGGCTCGGCGGCTTTGGTCTTGAGGCCGCTGCGCCCCAGGTGTTCATTGGCTACTTTGAAGTTACTCTTGATGTTATTGGGTATAGCGCAAGCAACGCAGAGATGCGAGTAACGGAGAGAGCGTCAGGGACAGAGGGTGTTCTCATGGTGCCCGGGGCACAACTCCAAAGTACTAGCAACTATACAGCATCTCCGCTCCTCTGCTTGCAACCTGTCAGCGCTTTCTTCGTGTAGGATGGATGCATAATCGACGCACCTATACTCGTCAACAACTTTACATGTGTGGTTTGTATCATACATCTCGTACACCAACATCTGCCATGTGGCCCTCTACCCGTCTACGAATGACACAAAGGATAAGGAGCTAGTCATTTGTTTAGTGGCGTGTACCCCAGTGATGTGGTGTGAGCCCAGGCGCTGGGCCTAGCCTTCAATGTGAATCTACCAGCTCATCGCTTTGCAAAGTCTTGCCGTACTTGATGTTTTGGGTAGCGCTGAGGTCAGGCTTCGTATGTGTAACCGCAAGCAACGGAGAGATGCCAAACAGCAGAGAGAGAGCGTCAGCGACAGAGTTTGTTCTCATGGTGCCAGCCAGGGGCACTACTCCGAAGGTGTCCTAAGTGTTCTGTAACATCACCCGCTCCTCTGCTTGCAATACGTCAGCAATTTCTTCGTGCGTTTATTCTTGTCTGCACTTTTCACATGCATGGTGGCTTGTATGCATTCCACACTCTCGTACACCAACATCTGCCATGTGGTAAAGCCGAGTTGGGAAGGGCGCGGTGATCTGGCCCTCCATCTACTTACGAACAACACAATGCTGGGGGATGTATGCAGGAGCTCGAAAAGGTCGAACGGGAGGCCCTCCTTGCCGTAAATCACTGCTGTGATAGAGAGGCGGGGTCCAGGAGCGGCCGCCTATTAACCTACACAGTCGGGATCGATTCTTGAAGCCTCACACGTAGATGCGCAACCAATAGGCTTGCCAATACCGCCGAAAGGGTGGTTTTTGGATATAGATCTCGTCGAGAGCTTTCTAGAAAAATATGCATCCACTCAAAGGAAGACATTGCATCCGTTCGAGATGTAACCACTGCATTCGAAGGGGATGAGTTCAACTCTTTACAGCAGTGAACGGGAGGAAACCGGCTGGATTCGCTGCACGCATCGGTCTGGTTGGCGCAACAACCCTCTGTGTCCTTTGAGTACTCGATTCATCACAATCGGTCGCACACCGGAGGGCCTTGCATCGCCCGCACTTTACTTGGTAACAAATGTGGCGTTGCTTGTGCTACTGCCGTGTGGTGTTCGTGTTCTCGCCTTTTTAGCGCTTACAACACCACCGGCACCCACACCATGTGCACCGGTGCCGGTAAAGTTGCAGCCACGGCAGAGCGTATCGGGCGTCGAGGGCCATGGTGATACAAGATCCCTCGGGGAACGGCTGCTGCTGTGTGCGGCGCTCAGGATGTGCTGTCTTCCAGTACGTAACTATAGGGCAAGCCATTGTATATCTGGTTAAGACATAGCAGACGCAAGGATGATGGCCCAGCTCCAGGGTCATCCTTGTGAAAGGTAGCCTGGGCCAGCGACAACCCGGCATATCGCTCTGTCCCGCCACTGTGGGGATGGGGCTTGCAGTGGTTGTAACAACTGAATATAATACGGCGTGCGTTTACATGAGTACCTCCCCTCCCCCCCCCCCCTCTTTCTCCACGACTAAAGCACTATTATAGTCCGCAGACAGAAGAGCCGCGCAACTGGAAGATGGGAAAGTAGACAAAAGGCTTCGCAAGACGATGACACCGGTCCTCTTGCTTGCCTTGTGGTGAAGACGCTGTGCAACAGTTCCAGGGCCGCCGGCTTGTTGTTGATCGCGATCAGCTCTGCAGGGGGGGAGGGAAGGTCAAAGGGAGAGTGGGCGGGCAAGCGAAGTATTTGACTGAATTGAGCTTAAATAGGCCACAAATCGATTTAGGCTAAACGTGGGAAAGCCTGCAAACCAGGAAGGCTTTGGTTTAGGATCGACGCAGAGCTTCAGGAACAGGGGCACAGGGCTGAGGAGCAAGGGTCTTGCTTCAATATTTGAACGAACGTGGTGTTTGGGACAGGAAATTGTGCGCTACAGTACATAGTCTACTGCTGTCGACGACCAGGCGGCATGTTTGTCAGTAAGTTCTTTAGGAAAATCACACTGCAGGTCAGCAGTCGACTGCTGTTGCATCTACACGACACCACAGCGTGCACGTATCCGTGCAACGGCCGAGGCAAACATGGCAAGGTACGAGGGACGGGAGCATCCACGGGTTGGGGGGGGGGGAACGACATTCCCCCGGACCCCATCTACATACAGGCATATAGGCGAAGCTACGTACGGCCTTGCATTCCATTCTCTCAGCAGCTACATCATGAGCAGTTAGGTCCACACGGATCTCTCTCTCTATAGCTGCAATACGCATTGTGGTGTCCCTTTCGGCGTGTGCCCGAGAGCTGTCCTCCCCTATCCCCCTCCGCGATTCTTCGTGCGCACACACCACAACCACAAAACGCTGTCTTTTCAAAATCAGCCTGGGGACGGTCTTGCTCTTGCACTTACCATTTGCTCGCTTGAGAGCGTTCTCCGGCTTGTGAAACCAGGTCTGTGATTGAACCATGATTCCAGGCAAGGGGGAGAGAGAGAGCTCTGCGCCAACCCAAGGTGATGTTGCGACAATGCGATGCGCGCCGCTTCGGGCTACGCCGCCCCCTCCTGCTTGTATCGAGGGGGCTCTCCGGTCTGTACCCCATTCCGCCCCCCACCCCCGCCAAGCGATTGCCGCACGACTAAAGCAGTGTGATCAGGGCAACACAGACAAGGCAGGCAATAGGCAAGGTACTGCTCTGCTGCAGCTCGGTGTGTACTCTGCCGCGGTGTACTTGCTGCTGCTGTGTGCTGCTGCAGCCCTTGGGCGAGATGGACGCATCTGCGGAAACTGCAGTCCTTAGGCGGCAGCTGGAGAAGGCAGTGTCCGCCGAGGTACCAGCATTGACTTGTTTGATCAACCCGTCTGCACACCGCTGGCTAACTCGGCTCGTTTCCAACGTCCCGCGGGCGTCAGGCCTTGCTGCACACACCTTACTCACGCGAGTCTCGATCGTGTGCCATGTTTTGTTTGCAAATAGCGAGCTTTCGCGCCGAGGATTGCTTCTGAAATTGGTGCGCTTCAAAGCCGGAAACAGAGCATGAGGGCCTCACTCTCTATCTCTCTCAAAGCTCTCTTGAGACTCAAGTGTGTATTGTAGATCGTTCACGTCGGTGGCTCGAGTTCGGTAAGGCAGTTTGTGCACAACTACACGCACGCATTGGCACTACCCGAATAGCATTCGAATATCTATATGTGCGCGTCCCGTTGGTTGCGACTTGTGGTCTTGACGTTAGCAGCATGTCCATCGCAGCACATCCTTGTATGCTACACTGTTACACCAGCGGCCAGACGTCAAGCCCCCTGTATCTCTCTGCTGTACAGACTGCTCTAGGCTAGGTGACCTGCCCCCTGTAGGTGTAGTAGTAGCTGCCCTGCTGCTGTGCGTGCAGTTGTCGGCGGGAAAGGGAGAACGCTCGCAAAACGGTGAGCACACACAAGCTATTATGGTGTCATCAGCAGTATCGTCTCTGCCGTACTCGCAGCAAAGACAGCAAAATTGTGCAAGGATCTTCGTAGATGAGACAGCAGCACCGATTCGTTCGGCTGCTGTACCAAGTATTGAGTTTTGAGGCGCAATGCCCCCCTGCCGGACCCCACCAGAAGAACAGCAACGCTGGTTGGGTATCAATGGCACAGCATCTCCACTGAGATATGCACACGAAGGCGATTTTTACACTGTAAATAACCTCCCCGGCGGAGAAACATTTGCCACAGACGGATACACTGAAGCCTTGCGCCAGTTGTCCGGAGCATCGGCGGCGCGATTCATGAAAGTGTTGGGCATAGGCGATGTTTTTGTTTGGTTTGTTCCATCGCTTTAAATCAGCTCTCACACATAATCAGCGCTCGCACATGACACATTTCTGCAGTTCATGCACAAGAGCTCCATCCCGTGGTCACACTTAAGGGTCCCCCACACTGAGGCCCCCTACCCACCTACCGTCCTGCGGTAGATGGTTTGCCTTCAACGAATGTCAGCGCTTACTCACACAGCATTTCTGCAGTTTAGGAACTCCAATTCATGGTCGCATGGAACATGGAAGGGTTTCTCCCCCTGAGGCCCCCTCCCATCCCTCCTTCGGTAGATGCTTGCCTTCAGCGCGCACACACCCAGCATTTCTGCCGTAAGGAGCTCCAACCCGTGGTCACACAGAAGGCTTCCTCCCCTCAGAGGTTCCCTACCATCCCTCCTGCGGTAGATGGCTGCCTTCGGTTTGTAACGAACTTGTGGAAACGAGAAACGAGCACCGTTGTATTCCCGTGAACGCTGTTTCTCCCCTGGGCGCAGGACGTGGAGCGCATCGCCGACGTGCTAGGCTCGCTCGGAAAGGTGGAAGTGACTCTGGCCGTTCTCCAAGAGAGCAAGGTCGGAGCGACGGTTTCAAAGCTCAAGAAACACGCCGACGAAGAGGTTTCCAAATCTGCGAAGGCTTTGGTCAAGAAGTGGAAGAGGGTAGCCGAAGCGTCGGGGGTGCAGGGTGCTCCTGCCGCGGCCGCCGGCGCTGCTGGGAAGACGGGGAAGTCGCCCCCGGGTTCGGCGGGAAAAGGTAATACAGCAGTAGGAGAGGTCCCTGTCTAGTGCCGGTTGAATATGTAGTGTCGGTGCTTTCGGGGATCACACAATGAATTTCCGAGTCATTTCTCGATACTTTGAATAGTGCCGGTCCGGCATCGTGCCGGTGAATTTCTGGACACATATCGGCACTAAACAGGGACTTCTACTGTAACGGTGTAACGGTACATTGCAATATTCCAGGGTGTGTTCTGTGGGGTATCGCAAGCGTTTACAGCACTCCTAGAACTATCGGGTACCAGGCGTTTTAAGTGTCGCAGAACCCCAACAGCAAGAATCGAGTTTGTGAGAAGGTAGTACAGAACATTTCGGGTAGGCTCAACAAATGTCGTTCATTGGCCGTGATCCGTAGCGATCGATTGCCTTTTGGCGGGCACATGCTTTAGAAGCCGAAATCAAACCATTGGACAAGTCACCGTACACTGCTGATTTTTCTGATGGCGCTCGTGTTATTCCCAATGCCTGTTTGAGGATGGCGTTGGTGCGCTCCGGCCAAAACGTTTTGAGCCTCTGCCAGTGACAACCCCAAGTAGTATTCCCTCTCAGCACTTGTCTTTGATAGGCACCGATCTTCCTTCTTTTTTTTTTCCATCACTTTTAAGTCAGCGCTCACAGCCGGAGCTCCAATCGGTGGTCAGTCACACAGAAGGCTTCCTCTCCCTACCCACCCCTCTTGCGAAGCTTGCCTTCGGTTTTGATTGTATGTTTTCTCCCCCTCCTGCGGTGCTTGCCGATTGTGTTTTTTGTCTCATCCTGAACGACTTGTAGGCTCAGGGGCATCAAAGCAGGAGGTTCCTAGTCCCTCCGGGGGGGGCGGCGCAGGTCCTAGCTCTGGTACGAACAAGGCGGCGGCGGCGGCGGCGGCGGCGGGAGGCGCGACAGCGGCCACATCCCCTCTCAAAGGCGCTGTTGGCAAGGTCTGCAGTAGGAACGACTCGTCAGAGAGTGGTGTGCTGCTGAAGGTTGGCGTGCTGTGCTTGTAGAACTGACGTCATTGTGTTGGTGGAGTAAATCACTCGGGTGTGGTGTGCGCGTGTGGAACTATTTAGCATCAATATATATGTGCTTTGATGGTGGAGTATCACTCGTGGTGTGCTGTGCTTGTAGAACTAACGCCAATATATATGTGCTTCGATGGTGGAGTGATCAGTCGTGGCCCGCAATGGCATTGTGATCGGCTGTGTACTTGGGAGATTAAGTGATCAACCGCGTGGTGCAGCAGGCTCACAAAGGTGGGATATTCAGGTGTCTCGCCGGTATGTGAAAACTCTTGTACCTTGTTACATACGTAGCATAGGATAGCATGCAATTCATCACGCGCTCAAAGTACTTGAGAAAGTGGCGGTTTCTTTGGTTGGTGGAAAACAGACTCTTGGTATCTACACTACACACGTAAAGTGCGAATTTTGTTGTGGATGCCAGCTTACGTTCCCGTAGGCGGCACTAACCTTCTTCCCAGCCACTTCGCCCCGGAATCGATACTGAATGCACCCCCCTATGCCTCACTGAAGTACACGAAGTCTACATCAACCGCGCCACACATGCACCTCTGTTGTAGCGTGCGTTTTTTGTTCTCTTCCTCGGAGGGGATCATTTGATGCGTGTGTTGAATTTTGCGAAGCCTCAAAACTCATGTTCGCTTTGGATTGTGAGCGTTCAATGGTACACTTCCATGACTGCTCCTGAGCGAAAACTGCCACTGACTCTCCACAAACCCTGATACTAAATAACTGTCTTTTGCCGTTGTCTTTTCGTGTCTTATTCGATTTCCGTATTTGTTTCACCAAGACTGCAACAAGTTCAACCTCGGAGGCCGTCCCCCTGTCCAGGCAAACCTCCGGCTCTTCCACCTCGGTGAGATGCAGCAATCAATCTCCAGCCTCGAGCTATCTTATCTCTCAGGAAGAGCTATTGCCAGATAAGACTCTATGTAGGCATTGCTTTGGGAAGCAACCATGCACTGGTACGTTGCTGGTTGCGTTTTATGCACACGAAACGGGTGAAGACCACGCCTCGGGAACCGTTTTTGAACAATGAGCTCTCGGTTGAACGTTTCTCGGCTGAACCTGTTTTCGCCTTGGCGAAATTTGAAAAAACTGCAGTGCACATGTTCTTACTGCTGCCCCCACCCCAACCATGCGAATCTGGCGCTGCTATACTCTGACTGGTGCCCCATTTTGCCAACGACACCGGCTGTGTCTGTGATTGTCGGCAGCAGACTTCTGCTGGGTACATAATCTGACTTGACCGTTTTGGTTGCTGCTTTCGAACCTCCGGTCACCACAGGAGCTGTGCACGACCTTAGAAGTGGACAGCATACTGTCAGACGATGAACCGGCCCCGTTGCGGTTGAAAATGAGGCGCAAGATGTTCGACACCCTGCTCCTGGGGTCATCGGAGGACGAACGGATACGTAAGTCGAAACGGAACATAGGTGCCGCCGATTGGCCGATGATTGTTGGGTGATGCGGGTCGGGGTCGAAACTTCCACCTCTCTGAGAGAGGTCGGTCCACACACAGCTAGTCGCTCTCTACGTGGTGGACATCGGTTGCCCATCTGCGTGCCCACACTTGGTGGTGCTGCGTCGTTTTGGGTATATATACACTCACTTCGGACCATTCACACAAGAGGTAGATTTTCGTCTTAACATTTAAGACAGTGCTGTGCTCTTCTCGCATTACTAATCTAAGGCAACCATCTACGCCAGGAGGGGTTGGTAGAAGAGGAACCCGTCTGTACGACTGACCACGGGTTTGGGCTACAATAGCTCCTACACCCGGCAGAAATGTCGTGAGCGCTGATTTAACAGTGATGAACAACAACAAAAATGCGGTGTACAGCATCCGTTCCTGTACGAAGTTGGCATCGTGCGTACGACATCTCCCTATCCGTGATTAATCGGTCGTGACATGTTTGACTACTATGTTACCTCATCCGTTGGTGTCTTGTTGGGTAGGCGGTCCTTGCCGTCAGAGGTGCGCAGAAAAGGTTGACTCAAGACTTTGATGTTTTCGAGCGAAGAGGGCACGCTGGCCCACGCACGGCAGACGGGGGAGCGACCTTCTATAAACACACGACGACCCTCCCTAGGTCTCGGCAACTGTGGACATCCTCTGAAACCTTCTCATTGCCAAAAAACATTCGCAGGTTTTTCTGAGTAAACAAACGTACTGGATAAAGCATAGAATCGGCTAAGTTGGGGTTAGGGTTGCGGTCCGCGTACCCCCTTCCTGCTCTTTTTTCGTAATGACCGTACTTTCCTTGCGCAGACCGTCCCAGTAGTAACTGCCAGCCCCCGGTATTAAAGTGGATAAAGACTACAGCGACCTGGGCCTCCTTCCACCGAGGGAAGAAGCCTGTGTCTCTACAACTCCGTATCTAGTATGCATATATCTAGAACTGAGTATACCTCACTTGGGACCATGCACACACGTGTTCGATATTCCTCTAATTTTGTTTGTATTGCGGTGACGAACTCCGTTTCTGTACGCATGCATAGTTGGCGCCATGGTAAAGAGTGTGGCTTCTCCTTATCTGTGATTGATCGGTCTGTGATAACTTTGACGTTTATTTTGCCTCGTCAATTGGTGCCTTTTTCCTTCGGTCGTACTGTCTATTCCTGTGCATCTTTGCAGCGACTGCGCGCGTGGCGAAGGGCGTGGAGTGCGCCATGAACGAAAACAACCCGTACTTGTCGAAAAAGGCGAGCTATCTCGACAAGGCCAGGCAGCTGGTATTTAACCTGAAGAAGAACGACCAGCTAAGGTGGGGCACCGCAGATCACCCAGGCAGATACTACCCCCCCACCTACCCCCGAAGGAATGGACGATTGGCCATCGGTGATCGCCCTGTGGGAACGCAAGTAGTCTAACCGCGTGCAAGCACGAGCACGCCCCCCGTAACCTCTTTGGGCCCGGCAGTGTCTACGGACTTAGCACCGCAACGACAACCTCGGGGTATGTGGTAGTCGTTACTGTTTGGTTTCAGGTGACCAATTGCGATTGCTTGCCTGCTCTGCCACGTGTTTCGATCCGTCCTTGGACACTAGACAGGCAGAGTGCGTGCAGCAGAGTTGTTGGACGTCGCGGCCTCGTTTTGAAGGATGCTGCTGCTGCTGCTGCTGCTGTCGTGCGTTCTCCCTGCCCGATGTGTGAGATTTGTTGCCAACCCCGTCTTCTCCGCCCAGCGTCGCAAGGCGCCGTCCACATGGCCAACGCGATCGTGAGCAACATTTTTGCTCCGCTTGTGATCTGTGCTCTGCCGCAGGAAGAGAGGCGATACGATCAAGAAATCGACGACACTGTGTTGTTGCGCTGTTGTATGGACGGCACCACGAAGAATACCACGGCCCTCACAAGAGTGCTTGCTCCTCACGCCGTGGTTCAGGGTCACCGTTGTTCCGTTGAACCTCCCATTCTGCTGTTTGTGTTGCCGAACCTTTTCGTACTTTTGGTTTTTTCATTATTTCCCCTTGTTGGAAAGGGTTCTGAGTGCGATTTTTCCTCGTGTCGTCTCATGCGTGTTGGTTGTCTAGGCAAGACGTACGAGAGGGTCTGGTGGAACCGCAGCGATTGGTGGCGATGACTTCGACGGAGCTCATGGCCAAGGATAAGAGGGAGGCAATGGATAAGGCCGTCAGCGAACGGACGGAGGCTCGAATGTGAGGGAAGGGGAGAGGGTGGGATCGGACATGACGGAGGGCGTGCGTCAAACAAATACCTTACGCCAGTACATATCATTGTTCGTTTTCAACGTCAATGTTTAGTTGTTCGCGTACTTCAGCATGAAATAGCACCGTCAACTGTTTCGTATTGAGTGGGCAAGATTGTAACAGGACGGAAGCTAGAGTGTTCGGGCGTGAAACAGCAGGTATCTGTCTGTGTGTAGGTAGTCAAGGTCACACCTCGGAACGCAGTTGGAAGCACCGGGAACAGACACGTTTTAAGACGAGGATTTACACCCACGACATCCGTCACTTTAACGCTAACCCTGTGATGATGCGATGATACTGATAGGTTGGACTGGTACGACAAGAACGAAGACAAGATCAACAAGCAGTGCGGCATCAAGGAAACGGATGTGAGAGCGTACTTCGGTACTCTTGGGCGTTGTGGTCGGGTCAATTGAAGTGAACGTTGTGGTCGGGTCAATTGAAGCACAAATTGTTCCACACAGCTACAGGTGTTATATATAATACGACCCCCGCCTTGAGGAGCTTGAGGCGGCGCTCACTGCTGTGATACGCCCAATCATGTCCAAGACTTCCATTCTGATTACAATGCTTACCCTCATTCTAGCAAGGCTTGACTTCATAGAGTGTCACACGCCTGTGTAAACCTGCATCACCTCCGCAAGGAGGCGGCAGCCCTGGAGCGCCAACAGCGCGACCAGCAACATGCCCTCACCCTGGCGGAACAGGAGGAGCAATCCGCTATCTCTGATCGCGACAACCTCTTGGACGACTTCGACACAACGCCGCACTCAGCCACTCACCGCCGCATCAACGGCGGCGCCCGCAAAGCCGCCCCCGCCCCACCTCCGCGACCTTCACCTTGTTTTGTTACGCGACCTCCACGGGAAGACGAAGGAGTCTGGGGAAAAGTGGACACTGACTCTTTTGTAACGGCTTTTCATGAAGCAACCATGATGCTCACTCAAAAAACCCAGCCCCACAAACAACGGGTGACCGTGGTCCACGCCGTTGTCATGCAACACCACCGTTTCTCAGCTTTGATGGGTATTTTAAGGCGATGGTCGCCCAACGGGGCGCATATCGTCGTGTTTCTCTACGAACATCCTATCCTCACCCTGTATTGTAACACTCTTGACGTGGTTCATCATACCCTCTGTAGTAAAAACGCTGGCTGACGTCCAACGTGCTCGACGTGCCTTTTTTTTTTTCCCAACGCTTGGCTTAAGTGCAACACTCTCGACGCGCCGTTTGTTGTCTTCCATCGCCGGCTTGAGTCCAACACGCTGGACGTGCCTTACTACCTTGTCTTCCATCGCTGGCTGACGTCACCACCGCCTCACTCCCGTTGTGTGACGGTGCCCGCTCGCTGCCTTGATCATGACGTCATCGGTGACGTCATCGGTGACGGCATCGGTGCGTTTTCGAACCTGCTTTGTTGCTGCCTGTCGTTCGCTCCGCAGGGCATGTTCGAGTGCGGCCGGTGCAAGTCGACCAAGACGACCTACACGCAGAAGCAGACGAGGTCTGCCGATGAACCGATGACGACGTTCGTGACGTGCAGCAACTGCAAGAACAGATGGAAGTTCTGCTGACGCGGCGGCCGTGATGTTTCGCGGGGGGGGGTGTTGTCAAGTCCTACGGGGTTTCTATGTAGCAGGCGTTCGTGCAGCCGACACGTTGGTGACTGGCGGCGCAATGCCCCGATGTAAAGATTTGCTTGCGCTACGACTGCATCTTTACAGTCCGATGTTGGACGTGTTTTTGTCTCCGACAGATTTCGATGTTTGGTACGTACCATGCTGGCTATGTTCCAAGTTCCAACGGCACACGAGAGGTCTTGGCGGTAACCGTGTAACATGGTCCGCCACGTTCGACTCTCGATGGCCATTGTCCGACAAGAAGGGAGCAGCTGATTGAGCGACTAGACGCGCCGCAGCTGCTCACTAGACTGATGATCAGGTCAATGGACCTTGCCGTTGACGAGCAAATATGTCGTGTGCTGCCAGTGTTTGATGACGCATGATGCGGTTCTCGATGTGTGTTGGTGGTAAGCGCAGCATGGTCTGTTGTAGGCATATCACATTCGCAGTGTCCGTTCTTGGTCAGGCGTCTTCACAAGGAAATGTTAGTTGTAATAGAAAAAAAATGGAAAAAAAAGCACAGCACGCCCCTATAATAGGGCACAACCACCTTTGGGTGGTGTCCAACAATACATTTCATTCTCGACGCATCCTCTTCCCGGCGCGGCCGTGCTAAATTATTTCTAGGGTCCCGGCTCGGCGTTGTACCCGTTGGATAGTTACGTTGGCTGTGCGGGTACAGATAGCCTTCGCCCCCCCCCCCCCCCCCCCCCC